ATGCCTCCCTAGGAGTAGGCCGTGAGGCATTTTCATGATTAGTGATTGAGGTGGTAGGGCCCAACCCACTGGGGGTGGTTCCACCCGGAGCACCTAGGTGGTCCTGGGTTGTGTTAAAAAGCAAGTTGAGTGAGCTGTGGGGGGCAAGCCCGCAGTGTTCCTGTGTGTCCTCCGCTTCAGTTCCTGCCTCCAGGTTCCTGCCCTGCCATCCTTCCTGATTGACTATGGTCAGTAAACAACCCCCATCCTCATTGCTTATATTCATGATGGTAATCCCAGCAGTAGCAGGCAAGCTAGGACAGGCCGTGCTGACAGTCGTACAGCAGCCTGAAGAGACTGTCACTGCACAGCGACCTCCTCAGCATGCAAGTCTTGTGCACATCTTAGCATGGGAGAGCGGATGTGTGTGCAGTGAGGGAATTCAGGGGAGCTCACTCACCTCAGACCTCACTAATGAGCTTGTTTACATGTCAGAAGTGGGAATGGGTTTTAAGCATACTGCTTTTGTTGGTGATAGGTCTGGGACAGTCTTAAGTTTTCTGTCTGCTAGTGAGCTGTCTTTCTGCAGGAGCACGTATGAACTGAAGGAGTGAGTGGATTCAGGTGTGCCAAGGCAAGGTGTCCTCAGCAGAAGCTGGGCAGTGTCTGTGTTAGCGTGCCGAAGCTCACGTGAGTTTGGGCTGTCAGAGTTCTTTTAGGTGTTTCACAAGCTGCTTTGGGGGCAGTTAGTCTGGACTCTTGTTAGCTTAGGGTCAAGGCTGACTGGAGGATCAAGGCTGTGGTATCTAATGGGTGTTCTGGGAGGTTCAGCCAGTGGATGTTCCTCACTGAGCTCTGTCTTAGGCCTTTGAGGTGTGACCCTCTGCGGTGGCTGTGTGAGGTCCTTGATCAGGGTGACAGGCTCTAACCTTTGTAAGGATTTCTGGTTCCTTCAGTGTGCTCCTGTTACAGCTTTGTTTTTACAGCCTATCTGTTTTATAAACTATGTTCACCTTAGAGCTGATTTCCTGAGGTTCCTTGAAGGATTGGTATCTTGTGTAGGAGACACAGGAAAATGCTGGCCTGAGATTTAGCAGCCCCTAGGACTCCGGTTAGTGGATGAGGCCGCAGAGGAGCCCTGCCCCAGGCTAATCCTTTCTGGAGGGCTCCAGGACCATCCTAGGTTTTCCAACCTGAGTATGTTGTCCCTGTGTCCTTTCCTTTTAGGGATCAAAGGGTACTAGTTGGAGGCAAGATCTTGATTTTAAAATGTAAAATTAGGAATTTAAAAGCATAAGAACAAGATCAGAAGTGCATGGAAACAGGTATTTCATGTAACTACAGTGAGATTATGCATTTTACCACATCTGTATCCCTTCTTTCCCCCTTCAAGCTCCACTCACTCATCTTCATCCTGGAGCCCAGCATTTATCCTGTCTCCCTTTCTTTCCCTCTGTTCTCTTCCACTAGTAACAGAACCTAGGTCCCATGCCTGCTAGGTAGACACTCCTGAGATAGCCTCTCTGCCTCACATCTCTTTTGGAAAGGCTGAACTTCTACCCCTTCCCTCCACAGGAGGTGGCAGCTATTTCCTTTTTGATGGATGCTTTTGTACCGTTAAGTATGTGAGTTCATAACTAATACACACCAGATACAAATGGCCTGATACCACTGTAACCTTTTTTTGCTTTCTTTTTGACTTAACACAGTATTTTTAGATTTGAAAGATTTTGAAATGTATGTTTTGACAGTGTCGTGTGTGTTTTACGCCGCCTTTCTCACCATAATATAAAACTCAGTTGTGAATTATAATGGTTGGTTTTTCCTGTTTGCCTCTCATGCCAGTTAAGAGTGCTTCTTCCTGATAATTGGGACAGGGCCTGCAGAGCCACATAATGTGTCATAGCTGCTTATATATGGGGACCTTCTGGGTCATGAGGTCAGTGATAGAGAAGGAGAAGGAAAGCCTGGATGGTTCATTAATTTTGGAGTATTAGCAGAAAGGCCAGGGCATGGTGAAGAGAAACATGGGGGCCAGTGTGCCCTAGTGACACAGACTGAGATTCGTGTCCCTTATAGGGATAGTTTCCTGGCAAGAACACTTGAAGGTACATCACCTTCAGGCACATCTTCCTTTTCCAATAGAATACTTGGAAACATTCCGCTTTTACAAGAGAAGTTGCTATTTTCAAGTGTAGAAGTGTCTAGAAATTAGTGAAATAGATTCTTTTTAAAAGTCATGAGAAAGCATTGGGTCCCAGATATTTTCTGGAGATTTCCCATTAGCTTCGTTTGTGAGACTCTGTAGAGTAGCCATGGACTGGAAGCACAAGGCATGTGTTTGCAATAATGACTGGCTAGCAGGTCCGGGTGTTGGTGCGATGCTGACTTCCCACTGGATAGAGTGAACCTGGGCACAGGCCTGGTGCTCAGCACAGGTGACTGCATTTGACGAGTTTAAATTTCACATGCTGATAGCTGTTTCTCTGACCCATTGGCCAGCACTTACTCATCAGATAACTTTTCTGAGAGGTCCTCTGCCAAGGGCATGGCTTTGTGGAAGCAAATAGACACACAGTCCAAGGCTGGCCACATTGTCCTCATGGTAAAATGAGTCCATCAAGCCTGAGGATGACGATGACAATAGCGGTGAACTTGCCTGCTCTGCGCCAGGGTGACACCAGAGGCAGAAGTGCCTATGGCCCCAGATCTTAGCACATGGTGCCGTGGTACTCAGTCTCACATGGGTGTTACTGTCTGGTAGTCTTTGTTCATCCTAAATGCAGTTACAACAGTTGAGTCTCCCAAGACTCTGAAGAGCCAACATGGAGTTTGCAGTATGTCTCTCATGGATATCTTTAGCCCTGTGACACACTTGAGCAGTGCCCATAGGCTTCTCAGGCCTTAGCAGCACAGAAGTAATACAATGAAGGACACCAGGGCAAAACAAGTCTGAGGTGGAGTGGAGGATAGTACTCAGTACCTGGTGGGCAAGTACTGAGAAGCTGACAGTGAGCTCCTGGGTTCCTAGGTTGGTCTGTTTCACAATAGTGGTATTTCATTTAATAAGTCTGAAAAAGCATATAGTGGGTGTTTGAAAGTTCCACTTCTAAACTAGTCAAAACAAAGCCAGTTAACCATTAAAGAATTGAGCCTCAGTTCCAGCAGTAGATAATTACTTAACATATTGAAAAATTGATTCTTAAAGCAGCACTTAGGTAGGTAATGTTATATTGCAACTTATAGTTTGGTAAGGAACAGCAGCCTTGGTATGGGCACCTACCTAGAGTCCAGATTATGAAACTTCTGGCTGCCAGAATTAGTGTGAAATCGTGATGTACCCCAACTTTACAGCTGTCTCTGTATGATCGCCCCTCTCTGAGATAACCCCTCAGTATGTGTGTGAGAGGTTCGGTAAGCCATGGGGTAAACATGTTAGAGCCCAGCTCCTAGGGGAGCTGCTGGCTGTGTTGCCTGAGCCTTACAGACGTCTCTACTCCGGACGTGTTGTCCTCACTGCCTCAAGTCTCACAGGGTTGCCACGTGATGTTCTGCGTTAGTTAATTGAATGAGACATATAGGTGGGAGTGGGTGCACACTGTCCCGGAGTGGACTGTTCTAGCAGGTGCAGCTGCAGTTTATGGACATTCTTTGGCTTTACTTCATTCACTGTGAAATATCAAATTGTAAAATAAATAAGGTAAAGATTTCAGCAGTGCTATTATCTTTTTATAAAGTCACCTGCTTGTAACAGTCTACATTCTGCATGATGAAAAGCCTGTGTAAAAACTATTTGACCATACTTTCAGTGGTCATAGCAGGGAGGTTTTGAACAATTGGCCTAGATTGAAAGACCATTCAGTGTTTTTGTAGATAATTTGGCTCTTCAGTGTGGATCTGGTCCTCTGGTTTCTGAAGTGTGTGGGCTCCTGGGGCTGAGGTTCCTGGAATTCTCTTGTGGACCATATTGTGGTGTCATTAACAGGATGACTTCATCTGCAGCAGCTGACTGCACTCACTTGCCTGGTTCTTGGTTTTCTTTTTCTTTCCTGCTCTCCTGATTGGTTTGGGGGGGGGGTGCAAAAAGATTTCCGGGCTCGGGATCACTTTGAAAGAAGCTAGGAAGCACTGTCAGGCCTGTAATCCTGCACAAGGAGGGCCAGCCTTTGAACAGTGGGTGAGAGGCTGGTTTCTGCTGGCTTGATCTAGCTCTGGTATTTGTAATACAAGTTTTTGTTTTCACCTGCTCTATCAACTAAGAAAACCACTCTCCTATCAGACGGGCATCCTCCACGAACACGTATAGGGTGGTATTATTTGATAGATGTGTTACCTTTTCATTGCTATGTCAGAATCTGAGGTAATGCTCTCAAATGGAAAAGCAGTTTCTTTGGCTCCCAGTTTTGAGGGCACAGGCTGGTCCTGCAGCTCTGGGTCTGTGACAGGCAGCAGCTCATGGTGGGAGCATGTGATACAGAACCTTCTTACTGCAGCCGAGATGAGTGTGACTTGGGTCAAGGGTTGCCCTGCTAGCCCAAAGGCTTCCCAGTAGGCCCAGCTTCCTACACCTGGGCCTTTGAGGCATGTTTAAGATGGTGGGGTTTTGTGTCGTGGTGATGGAGCATACTTTCCTACAGTACGTGAATGAGTTCACCTGGATCGAGTGAACTCATTGGAGTTTGCCTGTTGCATGGAGATGTAATTAACACAATGCTTCCTTGGCTTCCAAAGCAGAAGCATTTTCAATGTCAGTGTCAGGGAAGGAACCCCTGCCACTAAATAGACTTTCATGACTTATCAATACTTGACACCTGATAAAGTAGCATTTTGAAGGCAATCCCATATCACCATTGACATCATGGATAGTATGTGAACAGACACAGAAAGTCAGTTTATCTAATGAAGACAGGTGTAAAGCATTGAATCGAGAACCCTCTCACACGATGGAGTCAAAGCCGTATTTGAGTTCATTTACCCACACCTCCTCAGTTCCTCATTTGCTCTATTTGACTTTCTGACAGATGCCACCGCAGTATGGACAGCAAGGTGTGAGTGGTTACTGCCAGCAAGGCCAGCAGCCATATTACAACCAGCAGCCACAGCCCTCGCACCTCCCGCCCCAGGCACAGTACCTCCAGCCGCAGACCCAGCAGAGGTACCAGCCACAGCAGGTAAGCATAGCTGCTGCCCCGGGGCTTGTTTTCTCCTACAGGTCTGTGTTCAGAGGCTGATTGTGCTCTGAAAATCCTCCTGCCCTTTATTGTGGGGGTTGAGGTGCTTTTTTTCCCCTTTGGTGTTTCAAGACAGAGTTTCTGGGTATACCTTGGCTATCCTGGAACTCACTATGTAAACCAGGCTGTCCTTCTAACTCAGAGATCTGCCCACAAGGCCCAGCACTTCCCTCTCTCCCTCCCTCGTCCACGCTTGTCCGCTTTCTTACACCAGAGGTTGAGGACTGGGAAGAACGCTTTCAATAGCTGCGTTGCTGACTGGTGGCAACAGAAGTGCCAGCTCATCTCACATTTGTGCTCTAAAAGCTTTCCAAAGATGCTTTCCACTTTGGTGGGGACTGGTCAGAAGGGGTTGCAGGTCATGTGACCATGCTAGTTGGCCTTTTGACCTTTTTAGTTTGGATGTTAGATGCTACAGCATGGAAACACGGTTGCCTTAGAGTGTTATTTTCCTGAAACTCACTTATCAACATGGGGTCACTTCAGCTCTAGAACAGGGAAATACAAGCAGAGTGGTTGCTGAACTATGTTAATCAGTTTCTGGGTCTTTTCTGCCCAGCTCCTCCCTTCCCTCTCCTATTTTGAGGGGGTTCTCTGGCCTCGACCTTTGATCCTCCTCCTGCCACTGGTGTCCTGAGTTCTGGGACGGTGTGGTGCCACCACACACATGTAGTTTCTGGTTGAAATTAGACTAAGTAAATACTTGTTTTGAAGACTGGTAAGATGGCTGAGCAGATAAAGGCACCTGCCTGAGCCCCATGACCCAGACTCTGCTCCCTCGGACTCACATGATAGAAATCAGACTCTCCCAGTTCCTCTTCTCACCTCCATGTGTGTATGCACACACAAACACATAAATGTCATAGAAATGGATAAATATTTGTTATTGGGCCATCTATTGTAGTTACATGATTGAAAAAAATTGTGTGAAATACATATGCATTTGGTGAAATGGTTCAGTTTCATTTCATTTTAGACTGTTGCCTTTGCGTGGAGCGGGCAGTTGGGAGGAGCCGAGTCTTGTAGTGAGCCCAGTTGCTGACATGCGTGTTAGCAACGCAGTCCTCCTGTGAAGCAGTGTGCTTCTTTCCACGCTCACCCTGTCCTCTGCACTTCCCCTATTGTGGGGTGGGTGTGGTCAGGAGAGCATGAGGATATCATGTACATGTGTAGGACCTACATACACAGGCCTGCTCACTTGCTGAGGGTTTCTCTATGGTATGAAGAGTCAGTATATAAATATGTATAGTCTATACATGCAACATTTTATATTACTGTTAATTGTACTTATTGTGTATGTACAGCTATATATACTGGAATGATTATGCCTTACAGGAGTTGGATCCTGCCTTGAGCTGAAGTTACCTTGTGTGAGTGCCGGGAATCTAGCTCACGTCCGGAAAGAGCAACAAGTGCTCTTAACTGCTGAGCTGTCTCTCCAGCACCATGGAACTTAATTTTACTGGAGTGCATTTTAAAGTGTATTTTGGGATTTGCAGGAGTCCATTGCCACATGACTTTGATTATAGACTTGTAAGGAAGTTTATGACTTTAAAGAAGGCGTATTAAAACCATAGGAGAGTGAAGATGGTGTATAGTCCTTTCTACATATGTATGTTTTAAGAACGTGAGCTGTCAATCTAGGGTTTGTGGAAGTGGGGTGGGCAGACCTTCAGTTATCTGGCTCTCACCAGTGTGTGAACATTTTAAAGCACTTCCTATCAGTTCCCTTTGGTGAGAGTGACTGTCGTCTGGGCTTTGAGAGATACGGCTTTTTGAGGGCTTTCAGAGCCTTATTGGGGTGTGGGGCGCTCGGTCAGTTCATCCAGATACTCTAGTGCAGACGGCCAGGCTCACCTTACGCTCATGTGCCTAAATGACTTTCAATCGTAATGACTTTGATTAAGGACTCTGAGTACCTGTCATTTCCTCAGGACCACGCTCCACATGTACTTCCTTCATGAGGTGTTCACTGATGGCTTCCAGAAGATGGCAATTAGTTACTATCCTTCATGTTTAAATATTGACAGCATGCCACAGGCCGGGCCTGTTTTAATGAATGCTATTTTAATTACTTAGTTTAGGGTTTCCTTTTGCTGTTATCACTGTTTATTGACTTGAATGCAGTGAGGTGTATGATAAGAAACAGTATATTTTAACCACAAAGGCCCATTATAAAAATGGTCATTTAAAAATCATTCTGAGTAAAACCAAATATGTCAGGACTCTTTTCTTACATTTTCTTTTATTTTTGTTTTGTTTGTTTTTGAGACAGAGTTTCTCTGTGTAGCTATACTGGAACTTGCTCTGTAGACCAGGCTGGCTTCAAACTCAGAGATTTGCCTCCCTTTGCCTCCCAAATGCTGGGATTAAAGGTGTGCGCCACCACTGTTCTGACTCTTGAGTTATAAAATATCTGAGTATTTTTAAAGTTTAATTTGAGATTTAATACAGTGACTATCTTAAAAGAAAAAAAAAAAGCCCAGAAGTTTCTTGGCATCTTAGTTAACTCTAGCCATGCCACCATTCATATCACACTTTGCCAAATAACCTCACTATTATAGATACATATGTACATGTATATATGTATGTTATATATTCATATTAGAGATTACATAGTACGTGACTCCTGCCGTCTTTTGCACAGTTGATGATGCAATGTACACTGTGTATACTCCTTGCTACTCTTCATGCACACACTAGATGGAGTTTCCGAAGCTACTCCCATCCCTTTACAACCTTATTGGGTTTAATAGATGTATCACAATATAGTCAGTCAGTGCTTTTTAATGCCGTTTACATTGTTTCTAGGTGTTTCCGACAGTGCTGCCCTTATACCTTGTGAAAGCTCCAGGTCCGATGCAGACAAGAGTATCTGTAGGGAATTTTTCCAGGCAGCTCTGTCAGGAGGTGGGAGTCTGTCCTCTTCTAGATGATATTGCCAGGTGGTCCACCATGGAGGGAGGATGCCTGCTTATGTACCCACCGTGCATGGGTGAGCACTTTTCCTGACTGTTGTCAGTGCTAGGCACGGTTTTCTGGGAGGTGAAGCTGCGGGTCTGAGTTTGTTAGCCTTTTTCCTGAGCTGTAAATTCCTGTCTTGATTTCTTTCATTTTGGTTTTGAATTTGATTTATGATTTAAAATTGATTTATGAAAAATCTGTGCATTTTGGTGGGCTCCCCAGGAATCAGAAATATCCCCTGCGCACGCGCGTGTGTGTGTGCATGTGCGTGTATGTGTGTCTGTTTTCCTTATTTTGTTCTTGCTTTTGATTGTAGGAGTGGAGGGTGGTGGGACCAAGGAGACGACTGGTGGGCAGAGGTGCATGCCCTAAGCCTCGTGTTCATCTCTCAGGACCCATCTGGTGGAAGGAGAGAAGTTACTTCCAGAACTTTTCCTTGACCTCCATACATGTTCTCTATGGTCTACAGTATGTGTGTGCACATAAGATAAACAAACGAGTGTTTAAGACAACCAGGATGAGAGTATGGACAGTGACAGGTCCCAAGTTTGTGAGTGGATGAGAGACCCAGAAGGGCCTGGTGCGGGAGCACTCAGAGTGGAACCGCACAACCTGAGTGTGTTTGAATCTGGCTCAGGAGTTGGATGAGGCCTGCCCACACTATGGATGGCCATGGTTAATTTAATCTAGAACATTTGCAGCTGCACCCCATCTGCTGCCTGGAGAGGTGCCTTCTGCCATTTGCTCTGTTCCCTGATGTGTGCTGTTTGAATTTCCTCTGGACTCCTGTTCTTTTCTGTTTGGCTTCCTTAGAGTATTTTGTTTGTTTGTTTATGTTTGTTTCTTTTGTTTTTGCTGCTGCTTGGTATGTGCTCATTGCATGTGCTCAGTGTTATTTCTGAAGTATTCTTTCTTATGTTTTGCTGTTTGACATGCACAGACTGGCCTGCAACGTTTTCTTCTACCTTGCTGGGTCTGTAGGCGTGTCCTACATGCCTAGCCTAACCTTTTACATTGCTTTTTTTCTCTTTTTTTTCTCCCTAGTAAATTTGTCTGTTTTGGTTGTGATTGTTATTGTGTCTTTTCTTGCTTTATGTATTTTTCTTTGGAATAGTTAGTTCTTAAGAAAGTGGAAAAGCAATCAGGACAGTGTGTGCAGTAGAGCCTGGCCACGGCAGACCAGGAGCATGTGATACCGAGTGTGGTCTACAGGCTTCGTGTGCTATAGGCCAGGGAGGATGCCCGCCTGAGGAACTCAAGTAGTGTTTTGGGAAGGAGGTTGCTGACAGTGCTGGGTGTGGTGTGTATGAGGGATTAGGGAAGGAGAGTCAGTCCTCAAGGCCCTGGGGAAAACTAGGTGATTTGATACTTTTATAGCTGGCAGGGGGAGTAAAGTGACATGGGATTGACGTGGGTGGTGAGACTACTGTGCCTTTGCAGCACTGAATGCTGAAGGAGTTGCCCTGCTTCCCTGCTGTCCATCATACCTGCACTGCATCACCTACCTGTGGCCACTCACTCCTTTAGGCAGCTTAACTCCTCCTTTACACTCTTCAGAAGCACTGCCCACTAGGGATATCCCTGTGCCTTTTCTCTTTTGTTGCTGTTGTAAGTTGTATTTTCTTTTAAAAATTGCCCTTTCTTACCATCTGCATGCCTGTGTGTGCATGCATGTGTATCGTGTGTATGAGAGTGTGTGCCTCTGTGTGAGTGAAAGTATATGTGTCTGTGTGTATGAGTGTGCGTGTCTGTGTGTATGAAAGTTTCTGTGTGTATGTGTGTATAATGTAAGTGTGTCCGTGTATAGGTGTGTGTGTGTGTGAAAGTATATGTGTCTCTAGGTTTTGTGTCTGTGTATATGTGTGGTGTGTGTATGTGTGTATGTGAGGCATGTTCTGTGTATGTCTCTATGGATATGTGTGGTGTATGTGTGGTGTGTGTATGTGTGGTGTGTGTGCGCGTGTGTGTATATTTGT